GGGTAGCACAGTATTAATGTCTGAAAATAAGCTGCTGTAAAGTCACCATCAAACATAAACTAAATCTGCCATAATGCAGCTACTCACTAGAAAATCATCAGTGAGTAAAACTTTATTTGTTTTACTTTTAATAATTTTTCTGTATTTATTTCAGATTTAGTCAGTCGTACATTTAGTTCTTATCGGCGTTTAAAAGAGGACGTGTTAAAACTCTGTTTAGTCAAAGTTAAACATGAAACGTCAAAGTTCATTACAACTGGCCCCCCGAGGACCACCATAACGCTCACGTGGCCCTCGGTGAAAATGAGTTTGACACCCCTGCTGTATTGTGTGAGTGTTTTTATCTGTCACCTGCTTACTGTGAGTAATAATTAATGTACATCTACAACTGATTAACTTCTAGAGTCAGCTTGATTCAAGTTAGCTGCTACAATCAAGTGACCTTAAAAAAAACCCAAAACGACTACAAGTCAGTTATTATCCCTGCAGTCAGTCAATTACAGAGACAAGTACAGAGATAGAACTTAAATTTGGCCTAAACCTTAGCATCAACTCTATGGAATTGAACAAAAAGTACAAAAAGTACAAAAGTACAAAAAGTGTCACCCTTATTTTGTCATCTCTTTGCTACAGATTGTATTTTAAGTCAGTCCAATTCAAGATAGCCACCACAAATAATCCTCCTTACCCAACATATAAATGTGACAACTATGTAAGTCAATTTAAAACATACTGAACTGAAAAATTGTTTTAAAAGTAGCTGAAGGCCATTCACCGTACAAAACTCTGCCATAAAAGTGGTGGGTATCAGGTTTTCAATTGGAAAAAGAAGTTTTCATTATGGATTGCTCACATTTTATTTATTTATTTATTTTATTATTTGCATTTCTGTTTCCATCGTTGCACATTTACCTGAAAAGCTCATTGTGTTTTAGTGAAAGGTCAGCAGATTCACAACTGAGAGAAGTTTTGTTAACCGAGCAATGTTATTTATTTATTTATTTACATGAGCAGCCCTTTTCCGATGCCATGTTAATGATCAGCTCTACTACAGTTCATGTGTTGGGTGTACGTGTGTGTATCTGTGTTTGTGTGTTAATGGTTGACTACAGGTTGAAGTGTCTGAGGACCCTCATTACTGTACTGCTTATTGAACCCTGACAGGTGGAGCCAGATTATGTAATCCCCATCAGTAAGTAATCTTTGTTGCAGATTGTGTCGCTGTAAATCCTGGGTGTCAGTCAGAGGTCATTAAGTAAATATTAGAGTTGACCAAGCTAAAGGGAAATTTATTTGCAGAGATTCAAAGAGTAATGAATGAGGATTATCTTTCACCACAAACAACAAATATCTGACCATTTGTTTCAATTGATCTTAGATAATTAAACTCCAGTTTCCTTCAAGGAGCAGAAAGAACTCTGCAACTATCCTTCTGAACTCACTCTTTCATCACACAATCAATCAATAAGTGAGTCTTTTTACTGAAAGCAACCCTATCCTGTGAGCTTAATCTGTTTATTGACACCTGCAAAGCTTTAAAGACCCAAATCTGTCAGGCAGGACCTCTAGTTTGACCATCTCCATGGCTGCATGTTTTGATTCACCTTAACTTCTTGTACTTATCTTAGAGCTGTCCACCTTTTTATTTGTGTTAAACATCCAGGTGAGACACTGAGACAGACTGTAGTGAGCGGCTGTCGCATCCGTTTTGTTTTTGATAGATTTTATTATTTCAGAGAAGTAAAAATGACCACATCCTTTTCATATATACAGTATGACACAGCACAGTGACTGCAGGTGTCTGCGTTGTGAATCTGTGAGTTGTTTGGGCCCTCGGCTCATTAAATGGGAAGCAGGAAAAGAATGGTTTCCATAGCAGCAGAGAAATATAAGGTCAGAAGAGGCATGACTGAGCAGAACTGCTGCTAATGGATAAATAAGATACTAAGTTTTCTGTTGCGTCAAATCAGATCCTTACGATTTATTCCTCAAAGTGTTCTCGGGTTTGGTCTCCTCGCATTTATTTTAATGACACTCCAGTCATTTCTTTCCACTTCCTGTTTCTGCAGCATCCTATATTTTCATTAGAAGAGATATTGTTGCCATTGTACTGAGGAAACTTTTTTATTTTGTGTACCAATTTTCTTTTCTTTTGCATTAAAAATAGTTGCACGTTGTTTTAACCTAAAAAAAATCCTGGAGGTGAGAACTTTTATAATATTTGACAAACCATTTCCCTTTTCTAAGTAAACAGGACTCACTGAAACACATCCAAGTAATACCAAAGGTACTTCTTGTTGTTTGCTTTTGCTGTGATAAAATCTATGTCAAAGTTCAATCAGACCTTTCTGCTTAAATCTACACCAGGGAATAACACTAGCCTTTTGTGACGTTTAGCTTATAGCTAACATTTTGTTTCTTTTAGCTTGTTTTTTTAATTTTTGTAGAGTCTTGTTACAAACAGGTCCTCAAAACTTTGGACAACAAGCCCTTAAGACACCATCATTGTCGCTAAACTAGAACATCCAGGCAGAACTGTGAAGTTCCTGCTCGGCGCTCAGCCTTTGGACAAGCAGCTTTTTCGGTTAAAGCCATCGCTCAGTGGAATGCTGCTCTTGATTTTGTAAAAAACTGTAGCTCTTTTATTAGTTTTAAAAATAATCTTTAAAAGTATCTTAAATCTACTCAGTGTTGCAATCACTGAATTGCACCGGGTAATCGATTTTAGAGTTTGCTTTGGTTTGGGGGAGTTGCGGGTTTTTTGTTGAATGTTTAGTGATATAACCTTTTAATTGTGACTGGAGAGTGGGCAGGGTGTTTATGTATTTTTATTGTTGATTGTAAAATGTTTTATAATGTATTGTTTTCATTTTTCTGTTATTTATTTTCTTGTTTTTATTATTGTTGGATGTTGTGTTGAGGACTGCAGATGTAAATTAGCCGTTGGCTAAATCTGGTGCAATGCATCAAATGTTTTTATGTTTATGTTTTAATTGCACATTGTCCTTTTAAATAAAATTCATTCATTCATTCATTCATTCATTCATTCATTCATTCATTCATTCATTCATTTTAGCTTTCAGTTTGTGTTCCGCTTCTTTTAAACATAAAAGATCAGTTTTAGCTTTAAAACAAAGTTAATCAGTCGTTCAGCTTGCGGCGTTTACACAGCGTTGTTACGGAAAACGTGAACTCTGGTTGCGTTTGCAACGTTTGCCATGATGTTCACGTGGAGGCTGTCATCAGCTTGAGCTCATGTCAAACCAGTAACACTCCACGTGTCAACAGCGCAATGATTTTAGTCGTAACCTAATCAGAACCCCCTCTGATTGGTTACTTGTGACGATACAAGTGTTGTTTTAGCACTTCTTTAAAGTTCAGAGCTGTTTTAGTGACATATCTGGACTTATTGATTATGAGGGAGGCTGATGGGCATAAACTGCTTTTTGTATCTGGTTGCTTTTTTTCCCTCTCCAAGGAAAATCTAAAGCAGCTATAGCGACTGAGCCTGCTTACGGTCATTTACCCCACCCCCACCTGTTTTTAAGGCAAATATGAGGTCATCAAACTCCTGCGACTCCTCGTCTGCAGTGACCAGGTTGGTATTTATGAAGCTCCCCTCAGTGGTGTACGTTTCCATCGCAGGACTGGGCTTAAACGCACTGGTGGGCTGAATACTGGTCCGAAGTGATGTCCGTTCCCAGTCGGCACATACCTGAAACACAACCGCATCGTCACGATCTCTTACAAGCACCATAGCCTGCAAAGCTTAATGGAACAAAAACAAAATCTAGCTAAATACACCAATGACCGCAGGTCCCATCTGTTAAAGGGATCCCCGATTAGTTGTAACATTAGACTTTTTATGATAAATATATACTTTAACTGTAAAATAAAGACTGTAAAAATACTATAGGATGTTTAGTTTTTATAATTTTTAAACAAAACGTTTAAAAATATATTACACAGACGGGGCCATTTTATTTACATGCAAAGCATTCTGGGTAAATGATGACATCAACTAGGTCCTCGGTGTGATGCTGCTAGCGAGCTATATCCACCCTGAAGGTTAATCTTGGACAATATCTGATGATTGGCTCTTTTAAATGAAACCAGAGAGCATTGACAGAGAGGAGAAGGTAGAAATAACTCAGCTGCAACTGAAAATATGGATGGAGGACCTCAGTTTAGCTTGTTTGTCGCGCTAGCGCCAAGCTAAAACATATAAGGCAGTATAGCGTGGGCACTAGAGCAAAGGCTAACAGGCTAAGCTGAGGTTCTTCTTCCATGAAGCAGCTCTGTTGTCCTCCATCTATAGTATTTTCAGTTCCAGGCTGAGTCATTTCTATCTTCTCCTCTCTGTCAATGCTCTCTGGTTTCATTTAAAAGAGCCAATCATCAGATATTGTCCAAGATTAACCTTCAGGGTGGATATAGCTCGCTAGCAGCCTCACACCGATGACCTAGTTGATGTCATCATTTACCCAAAATGCTTTGCGTGTAAATAAAATGGCTCCGTCCGTGTTAAAATATATTTTTAAAAAATTTACAAAACTAAACAGCCTACAGTATTTTTACAGTCTTTATTTTACAGTTAAAATAAATCTTTATCAAATAAAGTTTAATGTTACAACTAATCGTGGATCCCTTTAACTGTGTAATTTTGATCGCGCTGAGTCGGGGTCAGGTGCAAGCTGGTAATAATATGCAGGGTCAGAGTGTGTTCATGAGGTGAGGCGGGTTAGAGTTTCACTCTGTTTCTGGCACAGATAGGAGAAACGACCACTTGTTATTAGGTGCTTTCATTGAAACTGATGCCTCGATTCAGAAAAAAAAAGGAAAATGAAAAGAGATTAAAAAAAGGTAGTGGACAGAGAGTTAAAGCAATAATAAAAGAAGAGTTTCTTCAATAAATCGGTCTCATCAGAAAATGAATCCATTGTGTTCTCTTTGAAAGTCTCACCTGTTCGTGAACATGCATAAATGTGTGTTTGTACAAATGTGCTAAGCCCTGTTTGGCGGGCTGTGACCGGAACAGAGTGTCCCGGTGAGGTGAGTTAAGCACCACCAGGCACCTCACATCGCGTCTCATCCACCCTGATAGGAAGCGAGAGGCGGACAGCTTTAATGAGCCAGTTAACTCTTTTTAACTTTTCACCAATTTGAATTTATTGTTGTTTCCTCTACAAACACTAATCAAACACTCCTCTTTCTCACACCAACGTCTGCCTGCACTGTAGATCAGGCTGCAGCTGAAACTAAAAGAGGCAGGAGTGTGCTCTCATGAATAAAATAAGATTACGAGGACGACATGTGGAGATGAAGATTGAAAGAAAGAAAAAGGAGGGGAGAGTTCCCAACCATCCCAGTCCATTCCTCCTTACAAGGTATTCTCCTGGGAAAGAAAAAAAAAACTTCCCGAAAAGTTGCTACAGAATGTGTGTGTTTTCAAATTGACTTTTATACAATGTGCCACTTTGATACAAAGGTTACAAGAAAAGCTGATACCAGCATCTGTGAGAGTCAGGAAGACACACATATAATTTGACACATTTAGTGTGTTACATAATGAGGGGCCGAATGAGAGTCTGAGTGAACCGCTTTAAAATGTTCTTAGGGAATTGTGCTCAGCTGATGTGACAAATGTGAGACGGAAAACCAGACATGGGCAGAATGGCCAATGAGGGCATGAGAAGAAAGAAAGAAAGAAAGAAAGAAAGAAAGAAAGAAAGAAAGAAAGAAAGAAAGAAAGAAAGAAAGAAAGAAAGAAAGAAAGAAAG